GTCCCAATCCAGCTGGAAGAAGAGAGGAGATGTCCAGGGGGCCTTTGGGTGCCCTTGCTGGGCACACAGGGGCTGTGAGCTAAGGATTTGGCCTTTTGACTGGCTTTCCTCCTAAATGCTGTCAGTACACTAATCATTTTACGTCTGTGATGTCATTTCAGGGCCACAGGGACCTGAGGAGGCAGGGCCCATTGCCATCCCTTCCCAGGAAAGGGAGCACGGCTGCTCAGAAACTCAGGTGTCTTGGCCAAGTCTCCGAAAGGGGAAGCTGGCTCCTTACAGATCAGTACCTCCCATGCTTAACTTCCTGGCTCCATCTGCTGGAAATCCTTTTACATGGCTTCCCCTTGCCATCATGGCCACCCAAAGCCACAGAACCACTTCTCAGGTGCATGTCCTACGGCTGGTGTACCAGAGTGCCCTTGGCCTTGACTCCTGAGGCCTGAGGCTGGGAGGCGGGGTTATTTCAGGAGAAAGTTTCAGAGGTCAAGGGATCAGAAAACCAAGGCTTCCCCTTACTAAGCTCAGGTATATGTCCCAGTTGATGTATGTCCAAGGTGGCAAGGGTGCCATGTGCATGTGGGTTCCTATGTGTACAGGTCTGCATGGCATTATGGGACATGAAGGAGCAGTGAGGGTATGAGGTGGCTGCTGTCCCAGGCTAGGCTGTCTTTCTAGGCAACTTTGCTACTTGGCCTTCCTTTTGCAGCCGAAGATACCTGCCATGGCCATCTATGGGCCCAGAGTGACATGGTGGGGTTCCCAGAAGACAGTTGGGCAGAACCAAAGTTGGCTGGCTGAACAGTGGAACCAACTAATGTTCTCTGGGGTGGTGGAGGTCTGCAGAAAGCTCAGGCCTTGCCTGTCTCTGCAAGGACATCTGACCATCCAGGATGCTCCAAAAGGAGCCCCAAGGTAAGGACAGCTGGGCATAGTTGCGCTTAGGGAAGGACTGGGAACAGCGCAAAAGCCCTTGCCCATCACTCTGGCTGCCACAGCTCCACAGACTGCTAGCCTGGGAGAGGTTGGCATACTTTTTCTGGATGGGCAGCCAGGAAGTGGGACAGGGCAGAAAGCCATGGGTGCCTTATGGGAACCAGTTTTATCTGGCTTTCCACTGGGTCACAGAAACTGAGAGCACAAAATCTGGGCCATGGTGGTGGTGGCTTTGGGCCACTGAACAAATTTCCCAGCAAGCTGGAAGGATCAAGAGCCAAAGCCTTGCCTGCGGTCCAGCCCGCCACTCAAAAGCATCCCTCAGAAGAGCTGTAAGGGAGTAGACCCCAGGACTTCCAGGAAGTGACAGACTGTATGCAGATGAGTTCCATCCTCTCCCCGCAAGACAGGACCCCAGACAGTCATCCCCAGACTTTGGCCTGAGATGAGCAGCTCTGCATACTGTAAGCCAGCAAAGTTGAGGCTCACAGGGTACTCACGCATGCTTCACACACAGAAACTCATTACTCCAAATGTGCCTAACAAACCACCATACTGCCTCAGATGCCTCTCCAACCAGGGGTGATTACAGGACAATAACACACGAGTAGAAATGGTGCACGTTACTTTGGGGCTCTACCCTTAAAGGGAAGAGGCTTGCTCTCCATTTTTCTTTTGTTGATCGGAATGCAACTGTGATAGCAAGAGCTGGAGCAACCATCTTCAATCTGTACAAGTGGGCAGCACCCTAAAAGTGGGCAGCACCCTAAAAGTGGGCAGCACCCTAAAAAAAAATGGCAGAACCACCAGCTGGAAGGAGCTGCAGTGGCTGACTTCAGACACTGGGAACCGCCATGTCAACTCTGGACTGTGAAATTTGTAAAAGTGAAAGAGAGATATGTTTCTTTTCTATTTAAGCCACTGTTATTTGGATCCCTCCTGTTAAAGCAGGGATTACAAAAGCCAGGAAGGCTCTTCGGAAGCCTGTTGGGAATTCAATCAGACATCTTAATTTTCCCTCTGTGTTTACTCTTTATGTGTGGACTTCTCAGACTGCAGGTGAAGGGAAGGCCCCTTAGTCCAAAGAATCAGATGGCACAGGAGCTCCTCTCCTCCTTTGAGACAGACGAGACAGAGACCGTGTGTGGACGGAGGCCTTATACCACCGATCAGTGTCATGTTCTGATTAAGCCGTTGACAGCTCTGATGGGCAGAGAGATTGGAAACATCGGGGCATCAAACAGGGAAGTCTTTGAAGGAAAGTGATTTATGAAGCTAATGTGTTTGGCTCCGCTGTTCATGGCATGCCTGATTCTGGAACCCATCTGATGGCTCCTTGGCTCTCAGCACACAGTGTTTTCCCTGAACACTGCTGGCTGGCACCTGTGTGCTGCCCAAGTCTGATCAGCAGCTAGGCACTTATGGGGGCTGTTTCCGAGTGTCAGTTCCCAGGCAGGGCCTGCCTGCAGACAGGCATGCACAGTTCGCTGAGGGCTGTGGCCTCTTGGTCTCCTTCTTGTGAAGGTTTTGTACAACTTCCTTGATGCACTACAGGCTGTGAACAAGCATTCACTGTTCCTTCCAGTTAAACCTTAGGAGCCAAATCAAGTCTTCTTTTTGCCCCCTGGAATTCAGGAGCCTGAGCCTCCTGCCTGGCTGAGGTAGCACCGGGTGTCAGGGAGCATGGTACTGATGGCTTCACGTAGAAGCTGTCAGTGAGCATTTAGCGATGAAGCCCTGGGCAGAGACCCTGAGCAGAAGGGTCTGCTTGGCAGACATGGCTTTCCCTTGTAGCGTGTCCCAGGTGTGTTTCTGGCACACACAGTCTCTGACTCTTCTGCCAGGACCCAGTCATCTGCTCCAGGTGGACTGGCTAGAGCCTTTCATTGGCAAACAGACCCTAATTTGCCAATGGCACATGTTGGGAAGAACTCTTTCCAGTGACCCAGAAGACAAATATGACAGTTCCAGAGGGGAGAAGCAATGTGCCCCTGCTGCCTGGGCTTCCTTAGACAGAACACTGAGGTGTGGACCAGTGGCAGGATTAGACAGAACACTGAGGTGTGGACCAGAGGTGGGATTAGACAGAACACTGAGGTGTGGACCTATGGCGGGATTAGACAGAACACTGAGATGTGGACCAGTGGTGGGATTAGACAGAACACTGAGATGTGGACCAGAGGCGGGATTAGACAGAACACTGAGGTGTGGACCAGTGGCAGGATTAGACAGAACACTGAGGTGTGGACCAGAGGTGGGATTACACAGAACACTGAGATGTGGACCAGTGGCAGGATTAGACAGAAGGTGGGATTAGCCAGAACACTGAGGTGTGGACCAGAGGTGGGATTAGCCAGAACACTGAGGTGTGGACCAGAGGTGGGATTAGCCAGAACACTGAGGTGTGGACCAGTGGTGGTGGGTCCATCCACTGGCCAGGTGGCATCAGAGTATGTATTGGGCAGAGTCCCTGCCCCAGCTAATCCAGGGCACTGCCTAGGAGAAAGGACAAATGACACAGGGGCCCATGTGGGGTTGAGTAGGACAAGTGTCTGTGATTGTTGGCATCCCTGGAGGCCTTCTGGTCCCTGAATTAGAAGTAGGGACCATCTGGAAGCCAGGAACCTAAGAAGCAGGACCCCTGGCCCCGAGATGAGAGGGCACAGGTGGGCAGCCTGCTCTCCCAGAGCCTGGATATTGGAGGCTGTGGTCTGTTGTCCAGTGTTCTGCAGACACTGGACTAAAGCCAGGACAGGTGCTTTCTGCTTGCACCCCAAAGCACTCACTGGGTGCCAGGGCTACCCTGCTTCCTTGCTCTGCAGAATTAGGAAGAGGTTGTGTGGCCCCTCTGGGTTTATTTCTGTCTGCTGCTCCTTGGAGTAGGGGTTTTGAGGAGACCAGGGGGCCTTAGGGCATATGCTCCTACGGGGAGGGGTTGTATACAAGTTGAGTTCAGGAACCTGAAGTGGGGTGAACAAGTGAAGTAAGGAGAGGCCAGATAGAGGAAAGAAAGGCATGGTGGCCACAAGGCCTCAGGATGGGTGCAGAGGTCTGAGGTGGGGGCCTAAGGAGGAGGCACTGCCCGCCTTTGGCAGGAGGGTCACACCAGTGGCTTCAGGCCGGGGCAGACACAGGTAGAGTCGCAGCCAAGGATGAATCCTGAATCCTGACGGCTCCTGGGCCACATGTGGTACCAGAGACAGTCTGACTAAGCTCAGGAGGTCAGCTCAGGGGATGCTCTGTCCTGAGACCCAGCCCCACGGTCGACTCTTTGGGTCTTCCTCCAATACATAACATTTTGTCCCTAGTAACCCAGATGCTGCAGAAAGCTCAGCTTTGCAGATGAAATGAAATCAACTCAATCACCGAAAGCCGTTTGCCACTCAGGCTGGGCACTGCGGCAGCCCAGGGCCCACAGCCTGCTGCCATGTCCAGAGCCAGCACAGGCAGCCAAGGGTAGGAGCGGGGCCAGCTCTACCAGCTATTCTGCTCCCTGCCCTGCTCCTACGTGGGGCAGACACACTCGCTCGCTCTCAGCCTACTCTGTCTCAGGTCTCTGAGTCTTATTGTCTCCGTGAGTCTTATCAGTCTGAGGTACGTGCATGTCAGGGTGGGTACATGTGTATGGAGGTCATAGGACAACTTGGGATGGGGGTTCTCAGGTATTCCCCACCTTTTTGTTTAAGGCAGAGTCTCTCATTGGCCTGGAACTTCACCAGGCAGGCTAGGCTAGCTGGCTGAAGAGCTTCCGGAGACCCACCTGTCTTCACCTCTCATCTCACCGTGACCTCTGCTGTGCCTGGATTTTTACATGAATGCCAGGGATCTGAGTTCAGGCTCTTATGCTTGCAAGGCAGCACTGTACAGATTAAGCCATCTCCTGAGCCCGGGTCTGAGGGTTCGTGCCTTGACTGCAGCGCGCAAGCTTTTGAGGATCAAGTGACGGAAGGAATGCCATTAAAGCTAAATTCAAAGTGTCACTGTGTCTGAGCAAATCAGGGCTCCATGCTGAGTCCCCAAGACCCAGCTGGGCAATGCTGGCTGGGGCACAGGGAGGTACTCACACATGGGCTTCAGCTGCCCGATGAGCTCCTCCTTTGTCCATTTCGCCCACTCCTTCTTGTCAGTGTTGATGGAGCAGAGGATGGGCCCACAGGGCTTGCCACAGTCCTCGATGGCCGGCACATTCAGGTAGTGCACCAGGACGATGTCGGGGTTCTGTGGGGAGAGCAAACACTGGCAACATGAGGGCACAGTCGATGTAGGTCACCCCTACACTGCCTGAATGGCACTGGTACTCTATGCTGGAGCCAGGTGATGGCATATGAGACCATGCTAGGCACTTGAGGGATGCCAGCATCTTCCCTGACCTCCATCCACCGTGTGCCATTAAGTCTTCATTGGGACAACAGCCTTCATTGGGGAAGGCTGTTGGCTTTATCCAGGGCTCTCAGAGGCCAAATCACCCCGAGAGCCTCAGACCTACACTGTGGCTGATGAGCATGCAGCCAAGGACCTCAACTATGAGATGGAACTGTGCCTCCTGTGAGCATCAAGATTCCAGGCCAGCAGCTGCCTCACATTTCTCACCCTGGCTGCTTAATGAATGGTTCCGGGTCACATTCACTGAGGTCACTAATGAAGACACCCAAGGGAAAAGCAGCTACCAGGGCTTCAGATCTGCTTCTCCAGGCTTAGCCTCTGTCTGCAGCCTGGGACCATCCCCTGTTTAAACAGCACATAGCACTTGTCACACTACCTCACCCAGCAGATAACCGTCACTGGGAATCTCAGACACTTCTTCAATCCACTTTAGAGCTTAAGAATGGAAAGGGCTGTTAGCCCAAAGACTTCAAGGACATTGGTTTTCAGAGGACTCTATTTAAGCGGTCAGGTGTGCCCCAGTAGATTCAATCCAGGGACACAGGCACCCCCTTTTTGCCCCCAGTAGCTCTGATGGTGAAACCTGGGGTTTCTGAGCAGCTTTGTTGTAAGAGACTTTCAGACAGTCTTCTCCTAGACTCTTGAAGGAGAGGCTGTTTATTTGGTCACACCAGGCATGACAAATGAGTTAAGAACAAGCATGGCAGGTCAGGTGTGGTGTTGAACACCTGTGATGTCAGTACTGAGCAGGAGGTGAAGCAGTAGGATCAGGTTCAAGGTCATATATGTAGTTGGCTATATAGCCAGTTCAAGGCCAGCTTGGGCATCAAAAGACCATGTCACAAGCAAACAATCGCCAGTCAACTCACCAATCCAGACCGATCCCTCCTTCCCACAAATGTTCCTGGACAAACTTGCTTAACTCTTCTGCCCTGGCCAGAAGTATTTCTCAAGCCACACTCTCTTGTAGCTTTCTAAGAAAACATCAAAACCCTGAAGAAAACTGGAAAAGCCGCATGGTAGGCCCTCCCCGTGTTTCTCTGCAGCCCCTACCCTCTGTTTTTCCCAAACTCAAGTCCCAGGAGTGGACAAGGTCCCCGGCAGAGGGAGGCCAAGTCCGTGGCTGTGGTTTTGGTTACATTCAGAGCAAGAGTAATAAATGAAAATATGAATCAATCAGCTCATTAATAAATAAAGACTCAAGACTATATCATGACCAGTGTAAGAAAGCAAACTGGCATAATTTAAAAAGATTTCCAATAAGGGTTGAAACATGTTTTTTTTTTTTTCCTACCAACGCTCAGTTAACCAGGAAATTAAATCAACATGAACAGGAGCCTTCTTGTTAATGGCAGCTTTTCTGGATTGTGGAAATCGCGCTCCTTAATAATAAAGATAATCCCTGCCACCGTGGGCCGATCCATTCTTTTTAGAGTATTTTCACAGTCATCATCTCATTTGGTGTCCACACTAGCTAGGGAGGCGGGCAGGCCAGGCAGGGCACCCTCCCTCTGGAGAGGGGAACTCTGTGAGGTTGCTTGCCCAGAGCTCTGTGCCTGGCGAGGGACCCACCTGGGCTGGAAGCCAGGGCTCTGACTTCAAACTCCAGTCCTGCCAAGACATCTGGTGGCTGCTTTGTGCTCAGCCTGACTGCTCTCCTGCTCTTCACTTCGCATTATTCTTGCAATATGCCTGACAGGCGGTGGCCTGTGTGGGTCTGCCATGCCCACCGAATGGATGGGGTGTCTGAAGGGATACGGGGTGACTCTAGAATCCTAGTCCTGCTCACCCTGAAGCCAGGGCTTGACTGAGGTTTCTTTCTGGAGCCTGGGTCCAGCTAGGCAGCAGAGCTGGCTGCTGAGCAAGAGGAGGAAAGATAAGAGGAAGGATCAAAGGTCAGCAGGGACCAGCTGGCCACCTGCGGCTTCCTCTGATCTCATCCCTGGAGGGAGCTTGGCTCATCAGGAGGGAGCTGGAATGCCAAATGCCTGGGAGATGAAAAGCTGTGGCTTCTCTCCTGTCCCTACAGCCCGCTGAGCACAGGCTGGGTTCCTGAGGCAGCCTGTGCACGACCCAGGAGAAATACAGTCTATTGCTTGTGAAGCCTGTGGACCCCAGCCTGCAGCCCGGCCGGCCTTCTTGCCCTCAGGCATCTGGAAAGTTGCCTGAGATTTGCCTGCAGTCCTCGGTGCAAACAGCCTCCACTTATTCCTTCATGGCAGGTCCAGGATGCCCTCCTTCTCCAGGATGCCCTTCCTTAGTCCCTCGACTCTCAGTTTCCCAAGGTGTGGTGACTGGGCCCTCCTTCTCCAGAATGCCCTCCTAGTCCCTCGGTGGACTGATCAATTGACAAGCTGGTTGGTTGCTCTCATGTCTGGGTCTCTTCTCAGTCAAGGCCCTGGGATATTATAACGTCCTGGCAATAACGGACTCATTTCAGGTTTGGAGAAATGAAAACAGGTCAAATTATGACTCTGACTTGAGGTCTGCTGATGTTGGGCCCAGCAAGGGTAGGAAGCAATTCTGAATGTGGGCATTAACATACAAAGCTAATTCCTCTCTCTCTCTCTCTCTCTCTCTCTCTCTCTCTCTCTCTCTCTCTCCCCCCCTCTCTCTCTCTCTCACATCCATCTTTGAATCAGGGTCTCACACTATAGGCCATGCTGGCTCACTATAAAGCCCATGTTGGCCTCTGAGTTAGAGCGACTTTCCTACCTCAACCTCCTAAAGGGTGAGTCATAGGCATGAGTCACCATGGCCACCACCAAGCCTGGGTTTTCACTGAGTTGTAGCCACACTCTACTTCATAAATTCACAGAACCAGTAGCCGATGGACTCACACCATCTACCACCAACTCAAGGGTTTTAGATCAACTCCCTTCTGGTAGCACATGCTCACCACATGGTCTTTTGTCAGCTTGCCTTTCTGTATTGCTTTGATGCAATTAACAGGAAGCCCAGCCCCTGGTGGCCGAGAAGCTTGGCTTGGGTTTGGAAGAGGGAGAGGCAGGCAGCACTGGGTCCCAGATTCCACCCCAGGGAACCAGTGCCGGGGAATCCTTAGGGGAGCGTCAAGTTCCCACTCCCTGGCTTGGGCCAGTTTTAAGACATAGAGGGTTTTCAGAATTTGGGGCACATCTCTCTTCTTGGCCACGCTGTGGCTTTATTCGTTAGCCATACAGTTTATGGGGTATTCTTGGCAGAACAGTATATACTCCTTAGTGCTCCAATGCATCAGTTTCATGGATGCTCATTTCCATGTCAGAGCAGCCCACATTCTTGCCAGCTTTGATGTGGGCTGGGGTGGAGGGACAATTCTGGGATTTCCATGAAGCTAGGGGCTGCTCCTTAAAATGAACATGACTTTGGAGCTGAGCCCTGAATGTCTTGGAATTCAGGTAGGGCTTTGAATGTCAGCATAAGAGGATCCCTATGGTTTGGTCTGTGACAGTGTTGGGGGAGCCAAAGGTGAGTCAGTCTGAGAGGTTCTCTAGTCTTCTGGAAAGAGGCACAGACTGCAGCTTCCTATCGGGACTCTTGGTGCTTGTAGCATCTCAACTACAAACGGAAGCAGGGCCCATCTCTCTCACTGGGACTGTGGGTAGGAATCTTGCCTGGCCTCTGAACGAAACCAAGCAGTATATGAATGGCCCAAAGCCCTGATAGTCTCGGTGGCCACCGAACCCCAACCAAACCCAACCAAAGCCTGAAGTCCTTCTTTTTTTTTTCTAAAATATTTATTTTATTTTATTTTATGTTGATGGGTATTTTGCCTGTGTGTGTGTGTGTGTGTGTGTGTGTGTGTGTGTGTGTGTGTGTGTGTGTGGTGTATCACATGCATGCCTGGTGCCATGGATCCTCTGGAACTGGAGTTACAGACAGTTGTGAGCTGCCATGTGGGTGCTGGGAATCAAACCTAGGTCCTCTAGAGAAGCACCCAGTGCTTCTAACCCCTGAGCTGTTCCTCCAGCCCCGCCTGAAGTCCTTTTTGAGAGGGTGAGCAGTGTTCAACTTTTAGCAGACAGGTCACCTGTGGGAAAGTCCTCACTCCCACTGGCAGCCCAAGCCTGTCCCCATTTTCACAGACCCCTTGTGGTGGGTGTGGGGCACAGTGCTGGGTCTTTGGCTCTCTTTCTTCCATCCCTCCCTCCCTGCTTGGTGGCCTTATCTTGATGCAAACTTGAAGCTCCCAAGGATTCCTAGTCCCCTCTCCAGCAGGACTCCATTCACCATAGCCCACCTGCCTGTTAGCCTGAATACAGCTCCTCTCCTCAGAAATACTTCCAGGTCCATGTGGCCAACGTATAATTCTGCACTGCCACACCTGGCTCCTTCCAGGCTACACTCAGCAAAGAATGGCACCACTATGACCCACCTCCTCTGAAAGAGCAGCTGTCCTTCTCCTCCCTCCACACCCCTCTGTCTCTGTCAACTCTGCCAGCTGTCCTTGCAGCCAGCCAGACCCTTCCACTCTGCCCACATGCTTGCAAGGCTGGAGTCCAAACCTAATGGTGTGGGTGTGGGAAGGAAGCTCTTCCTTCTCTCAAGTCTCCTCACTTCCTTTCTCTGCTGTGGGATGTTCTGCATGGCAAATGTGTTGCTCTGATTTGTTGGTAAATAAAACACTGATTGGCCAGTAGTCAGGCAGGAGGAAGTATAGGCGGGACAAGGAGGAGAATAAAGACGGGAAGTGGAAGGCTGAGTCAGAGACACTGCCAGCCGCTACGATGACAAACGGCATGTGAAGGTGCCAGTAAGCCACGAGCCATGTGGCAAGGTATAGATTTATAGAAATGGATTAATTTAAGCTGTAAGAACAGTTAGCAAGAAGCCTG